TGAACCCGTTTGTTGACAAGCCGCGTAAACCTCATTTTTTAAGGAAAAGTGGCTTGTCGACAAACAGGAGGGCTTGCCGACAAACCGCATCTAGATTATTTTCACTTTTGAAAGTAAGCTCGAAAGAAGATATGCAAATTCCCACAGATTTTGCATATCCTCTTTCGAAAGTCTACCGTAGTCTAGACGTACCATAAGGGTTCCACAGGACTACTTGTTTTTATTGTTCTAAAATTATCTATATCCTGTCTTGCACTGAATTGCGGGTAGATGGCAGCAAATGGCAAGGGATTTTCAAACTGCTGTATCAGGTTCTCTTTTTACATGACTGCAGAATCTTTGGCTCTCAAAACAAAATGGTGCTGCCTTTGCATTAGCAAGAGATCAGAAACAGGAGGAACTCAAATTGCAGGCAAATAAATACAACTATGACATAGTTGGCATCACAGAGGCTGTGTCTAGACTACAAAGTTCTTCCGGAAAAAGATACACAATTTGCGTACCGCAATTTGCATAGCTTTTTCCGCTTTTTTTGGAAGAGGCTTTTTTGACATTTGGCCTGTCTATACTGGGCCAAATGTGGAAAAAAAAACTTTTTCCGAACATCCCTTCTTCCTCGTAAAACGAAGTTCACAAGGATGCAGAAAAAAAGTGTCTGCTCTTCTGAAAAAATTTCCATAGAGGAGACGTGTTCCTTAGACGCAGCAGAATCTCCGCTAGTCCTCTAGTATCCCGGAAAAACTCTGCAGTCTAAACATACCCAGACACGTGGTGGGATAATATGCATGACTGCACTATTTTGTTATGAAGTTACCCAGGTTTGTGAGATCCCTTTGTTACTCTTTGCAATCTGTTTTGGCTTCCACTATCTTGAGTAATTTCATATAATCTACACCTTGCATTTTTCTGGGAGTGCTCTGAGTCACAGAGTACCCATGGAGTTGGTGTCTATGCAGTGAGGCAACATCTGTTATTGTGCCACTTTCTGTTGGTGAATGAGACAAGCTTTTAAGTTCATACAGCTCAGTGTAAACTCAAAAGTTTGTCTCAGTCACCAGCAGTTGGTCAAATAAAAGATGTTTCACCTCATCTGCCTTCTCTCTCTACTATCCTGGGGCTAACCTAGTAATGTTAACTCCTATACAATGAATATTAATAGAAAGGTGATGAATATTATTATACCTTCACCTGTTTACAGGATTTTCAATTAGATCTACACTTTTTCTACATTACATGCTTTCAGAATTAGCAGGTTACAGAGATTACAAAAGATGTGACACAAAGTATTTTTACAGAGCAAGTGAAAATAAGCAAAAGACAAAACAAAGAAGACACTGTTTAGTGCAACTATCTTTCTAGGCTGCAAGAACAAAGGGAAAGAACATGTTTATATATCAGAAAGGACAATACCTGGTCTGGCCAGACCCCTTATCTATCTTTCCTGGCTTCAAGGATGAATGGGAAAAAACATGTTCAAAGGACAATGCCTGCTCTGGCCAGATCCCTACTACTACTGTGTTGCCTTCCCAGACCCCTATTAATTCTTACATATTCCAACAAATACAAATTGCATTATAGATATAAATACAGTAGGACATCAGAATTATGAATGACTTGAGAATGGAGGTTGATCATCACTCTGAAATGGTGATAATTTGGAACATTACAGTCCTTTCAAGTTTACAACTGAATAATGACTTAATTCAGCTTTGAAACTTTACTAGTCAGAAGAAAAATGCTGTTTTTAACCATCGTAATTAAAATCAAATACAAAAAGTTTCCTTACCATAATACACCGTTTAAAGTTTTCCTTTTTTTAAAGTAGTGTGCATTTAACACAACACTGTACTGTATTTGACTTTTTTTCTCTGCTGCTACCTGATTGCATACTTCCTATTCCTAATCAAAGACTCATAGATTATTAGAACTGCAAAGGACCTCAAGAGATCATCAAGTCCAGTCTCCTGCCCTCACGGCAGGACCAATCACTGTCTAGATCAACCATGATAGGTGTCTAACCAACCTGTTGTGAAATATCTCCAGTGACAGAGATTCCGAAATCTCCCTCAGCAATTTTTTCGTGTTTCACCACCCTGACAGTTGGAAAGTTTTTCCTAAAGTCCAACCTAAACCTCCCTTGCTGCAATTTACGCCCATTGCCTCTTGTCCTATCATCAGAAGCCAAGGAGAACAATTTTTCTCCCTCCTCCTTGTAGCACATTTTTAGTTACTTGAAAACTGCTATCATATCCCCTCTTACTCTTCTCTAAATATCAACCCAATTCTTCTAGTCTTCCCTTATAAGTAATGCTTTCTAGACTTTTAATCATTTTTGTTGCTGTTCTTTGGACCTTCTCCAATTTTTTCACATCTTTCTTGAAATGTGGTACCCACAATACTCCAATTGAGGCCTAATCAGCACAGAGTGGAGCGGAAGAATGACTTCTCGTGTCTTGCTCACAACATGCCTGTTAGTGCATTCCAGAATCGTATTTGGTTTTTTTGCAAGTGTCATACTGTTGACTCATGTTTAACTTGTGATTTACTATGACCCCTAAATACCTATCAGCAGTGCTCCTTCCTAGATAATCACTTCCAATTCTGTATGTATGAAACTGATTGTTCCTTCCTAAGTAGAGTACTTTGCATTTGACCTTATTAAACTTCATCCTATTTACCTCATACCATTTCTCTAGTTTGTCAGGGTCATTTTGAATGTTGTCCCTACCCTCCAAAGCACTTGCAACCCCTCCTAGCTTGGTATTATCTGCAAAATTAATAAGCATACTCTCTATGCCAATACCTAAATTGTTGATGAAGATATTTAACAGAACTCATCCCAAAACAGACCTCTGTGGCACACTTGTTATGCTCTTCTAGCATGATTGCGAACCATTAATAACTACTCTCTAAAAATGGTTATCCAGCCAGTTATGAACCCTCCTTACTGTAGTCCCATTTAAGTTGTATTCCCTAATTTATTGATAAGGTCATGCAAGACCATATCAAAGGCTTTACTAAAGTCTAGTTATACTACATCCACCGCTTCTCTCTTATCCACAAGACTTGCTATCCTATCAAAGAAAGCTATTAGCTTGATTTGACATGATTTGTTCTTTACAGATCTATGCTGGCTGTTACCTATCACCTTATTATGTTCCAGATGTTTGCAGATGAGTTCTTTAATTATTTGCTCCACTATCTTCCTTGGCTCAGAAGTTACGCTGACTGGTCTGTAGTTTCCTGGGTTGTTCTTATTTCCCTTTTTACAGATTGGTACTATATTTGCCCTTTTCCAGTCTTCTGGAATCTCTCCCCACTTCCATGACCTTTCAAAGATGATAGCTAAAGTCTCTGATACCCCCTCTATCAGCTACTTCAGTATTCTAGGTTGCTTTTCATCAGGTCCTGGTGACCTGAAGACATCTACCTTTTCTAAGTAATTTTAACTTGTTTTTTTATTTTAACTTCTAAACCTACCCCATTTCCACTAGCATTTACTAGGTTAGGCATCCCATCACCATCAATCTTCTTGGTAAAAACCTAAACATAGTCATTAAGCAGCTCTGCCATTTCCAGGTTTCCTGTTCTTGTTTCTCCCTTTTTGCTGAGCAATGGGCATACCCTGTCCTCAGTCTTCCTCTTACTTCTAATATATCTGTAGAATGTTTTCTCATTACCCTTTGGCTACGTCTACATTGGCCCCTTCTCTGGAAGAGGCATGTTAATTTCCAACTTCAGAATAGGGAAATCCACGGGGGATTTAAATATCCCCCGCGGGATTTAAATAAACATGGCCGCCGCTTTTTTTCCGGCTTGGGGAAAAGCCGGAAAAAAGCGTCTAGACTGGCGCGATCCTCCGGAAAGTAGGAATAAGAGATCCTCCGGAAAAGGGCTTTATTCCGGAGGATCGCGCCAGTCTAGACGCTTTTTTCCAGCTTTTCCCCAAGCCGGAAAAAAAGCGGCGGCCATGTTTATTTAAATCCCCCGCGGATTTCCCTATTCTGAAGTTGGAAATTAACATGCCTCTTCCGGAGAAGGGACCAATGTAGATGTAGCCTTTATGTCTCTAGCTAGATTGAGCTAATTTTGTGTCTTTGCCTTTCTAATCTTGTCCCTACATCAGAGGTAGGGAACCTTTATTTCTGAAAAATAAGTAAGGGGCTCCAGACAAGTGAGAAACAAAATCCCACACCCCACCTCTTATCAGCATGGGTTCCCCAATGGTGGGGGGGGAGCCCCGAGCCTTAGGGGCCAGGTCCAAGCAAACTGGGGGCTGCATCCAGCCCCAGGGCCTTAAGTCCCCCCCTCCCCCGATAAACATACTTGCATTGCTTATATTCAATTCATCCTTTGTAATTTGACCTAATGATGCCTGTTTATTACTCTGATGTTGATAATTGTGTTCTACAATGAAATACCTTTCTAAAGTTACTTTCAATTTTAGCAACGGTCACAGAGTTGTTCCCTGATAACAAATGGAAAAGAAGCTGTCCTGCCTGTTTAGGGAGGAAAGGTCTGTGATCCGTGAGATTCTATGAAGGCATCTCCACCCAGTGAAAAACAATTGCAGAGCCTGCCCCAACTCTGTTATTCATGGAGTAGTTTGAAGGAGTTTTTGCACCCCTCCCCCGCGCCCAACCCCACCCTTGCTTCCTGGCACCCCAGGAGCCCTTTCCCAAATCCCCACACGCCGCCTGCCCCGACACTAGGCTTCGCAGGTGGGGAGAGTTCAGAGGAGGCGAGGGACTAATACTAAGCTCTGTCGGGACGCTCAGTGTAGGACGGTGCGTCCCTCTCCCGCGGGTCCCTGTGGGCGTTTCTCCTCGTTAGGGGCCCCTCGGACTGGTTGGGGGGGGAGGGGCTCCGCATACCCGGGGAGCTCTGCCCTGCCTGAGAGTCTCAGGCGCCTCTGCCGCCCTGTCAGCTCTGCTCTCGGGGTCTCTCTCAAGGCGCGCGCGGGGGGGGGAGAGACACGTTCCCGCGGGGACAGGCTCAGCCTGGCAGGCGGCCGCTTTTGCAAGAAGCTTGAGCCCCGCGCGCTGCCGTCCGAGCCCCTCTCGCGGAGCCCTGGGGGAGGGTCGCGCAGCGCGCCCGCAGCAGAACCGAGCAGTCCCGCGCCATGTCCGGCCTCGTTAAGGTTTCCGGTGGCCTTAAGTCAGTGGACTACGAAGTGTTCGGCCGCGTGCAGGGTAAGGGCGCGGCGCCAGGGCCCTCAGGCTGGGTTAAACGCGGCGCGATTGAGCGCGCATGCGCGAAACTCCGAGTTGGCTTCTGGCGCGAGGCTGAGGCGAGCGAGCGGCCCGGCCCCGCCCTTTCCCAACGACTTACAGGAGTGGCCTCCTCTGGGCAGAGCGTGCTGCTAAAGCCTCCGCGCGCCTAAGTGGCTTGTACAGCCAGGGGCTGGTGAAGCCCCTGCTGGTGCCCGTCGGGCGGGCGGGTTGGATTCACTTCTCGGCTGCGACCCGGCCCCTCCCAGCCAGCTAGTTATTCCAGCCGTTTTTCTCCCCGTAGCTTTGCAGTGCGAGCGCTTGAGCGTCGCATCGGTGGCTGCAGAAGGAGTCGTCTCTGGGTGTGTCTAGACTACAGGGGTTTTCTGAAAAACGTGGCCTTTTTTCAAAGAAACTTCCCTTGTGTCTAGGCTGCTGCTGTGTTCTTTCGAAAGTAAATCGAAAGAGCACGGCAGGTTTTTTGATGGCGGAAAACCACATTTTATGAGGCATAACGCCTATTATTACAAGTGCTCTTCTGAAAAAAGGCGTTATTGGACGTGAACTGCTTTTTTTTGAAAGAGCATCCAGACTGCCTGGGTGCTTTCTTTTGAAAAAGTGTCTTGTTTTTTCAAAAGTACTGGCTGTGGTCTAGATATACCCCTAGCACCAGCATCCAGGAGCCCAGGGTCGGCAACTGGGACCCTCAGGCATGGACTGGCATACAATGTACCATTAAAAACAGATTTACCAACACTTTCAGTGGTAAAGTTGGCCTTACACTGCATACTTGAGTGGATGGTGCAAAAGAACATTAAATGAGAATAAAAACATAAACTGAATGACAGAGACCCATAGTTCATAAACTGAATGACAGAGACCCATAGTTCATAGTATATCTAGCTCAATGAGAGCCTGATGTTGGCAGGGGGCCATTAAACATTGCAGCAATTCAAATAAATAATTAAGTTATTTGCTAGTTTAATGACATGGTATCCAACACTAGCTATGTGTGTCTATTTGGCCAGTTGAGTGTGAATAGTTGGCTTGAAGAATGTGGCTGTTGGGCCAGTCAAGTGTGGCTTGTTCATGCTTCAGAACTGGTTGGGCACCACTGGTTTAATGCATGCTATAAGTCTTATGTATCTTTCATAATTTAGGGCTTAGTGTTACACCAAACTATCTCAGTTCAGACAGTGTTCTGTAGTTTTCAGCAATAAATGCATAGGTGGTTATATAGATATAATATAATAAATTTAGCAACCTTAATTTTTGGTGGGATAGCTAAAAGCTTGACAATATGTTTATATAACATAGCATTTATTTTGTACTTGGAGACTGTTGACATTCTGTAAAGATACTATTTATGCAGGATTTTGGCTGAAGGTCTTGTCTCCTTAGCAGATGATGTAGGAACTCCCCTAGTTTGTGAGTCTTGAGGGCAACAGTGGTGGCTTAGAGTGCAAGTCATGTCCCCTACTTGTTATTTTGAGCTTTCTGAACATTCCAATCTATTTCTTCAGTTAAATGGTAGGCAGAGTTCCCTGAAAGAAAATGCTAATTCAAGATGTCCATCATAAGATGGCTAATAAAAAAATAAAAGGGTGAAGGGCTTCTGGGATGCCTAGAGAAAAAATAAGTACATGATGCAAGAATCAAGGGGACTTGGCTTCTCTCTTACCTTCCTACGGTTGTCTTCAAGGATTAAAACTTGAAGCTGTAGAAGTGTTCTTTTACTGTATTGCTAAGAAGTTAAGGTTAGGGATAGAGAATCCTTGAAAAGAATATCTTCAGTGAAGCAGAATTACGGGTAAGACATTTTCTCTTTCATTATTTGTCCTAAGGAAGACCATCATAAGTAGCCATGAAAAACAAATTCATAGCCATGAAAAACAGATCACAAAGCATAAAAACTGGTCTTTTGTGTGCTTTTACCTTGTATGCTACAGATTTCATGGGGAAGACTAGTGTTTCTCAAATTGGGGGTCCTGAACCAAAAGGGAGAGTTGAAAGGTTATTTTAGGGGAGTTACAGTATTGCCGTCCATATTTCTATGCTGCCTTCAGAGCTGGATAGCTGGCGAGCAGTTGCTGTTGGCTAGTCATCCAACTCTGAAGCCATGCTATGCCAGCGACAGCACAGAAATGAGGGTGGCAATATTAGAAATAAGGGTGGCAATACTAGAAAGCAGCATTTGTTGTCTAGGTGCCCAGCTCTGAAGTAGGGATGTGAGTATATAGTCGTTTAAACAATTAACCAATAAGTCTGGTTTTACTGGTTAATCCAAACACGATATGCCCACGCCCCTGGCTGCTTCTGTATCTGAGGTGGGAGAGGCAGGAGCCAGTGCCTGTGGCAAGCTGTCTTTTAAGCTGGCTCTCCACATGTGCCGGTTCCCACAGAGACACCTTCCCTCCCGAACGCCTGCTGCCTTCCAGCTCCACGGGAGCTAATAAGCACGGGGAGACGTCTTAAAAGCCATCTCCTTGCAAGCACCAGATCCCGCAGAGCCACCTGTTTCCCCCCCCCCCCCCCACTCTGCTGTCTCTTTATCAGAAGCAGCACTGGGTGGGGGTCAGGTGGGATGAGGGAGCAGCTTCTGTCTGTGGGGTGGTACAGAGGCAGCAGTGCGAGATGGCAGGTGGCTCCCCAGAAGTAGCTGGGAATGCACTAGCTGCCAGCCCTGCCCTCCCTGGGGGGTGGAGGAGGTGGAGAGGGAGCATTTTAGTGACCATGTGAACCCTAAACATGTTTGTGGCTATGTGATTACTAAAATAAACTACATCTAACATCCTTACTCTGAAGGTGGCACTTCAGAAACAGCGCAAAAGTAAGGGTGGCTGTACAATACCATTCTATCTGCTGGTAACGGCTCTGCCATCAGAGCTAAGCTTCTAGCCAGCAACTGCTGCTTTTCAGCTACCCACTTCTGAAGGTAGTGCCGCCATCAGCAGCAGTGAAGAAGGGTATCTGTACTGCAACTCCCCCACCCCAATAAGCTTGCAACTCGTACATAACTCTTTTGGGGGTCAGGAACCTTAGAATTACGCACCATGACATTTCAGATTTAAATAGCTTGAATCATGAAATTTAGAATTTTTAAAATCCTATTACAGTGAAATTGATTAAAATGGACCATGAATTTGGTGGAGCTCTAATAATAAAATCAAAACAAATATGTACATATATATGAACCTGACTCCTAAGTAGCTATCCATATTTTAGAATTGTGATAAACATATATGACCAATAAAGTTTCGCAGAAAATTAGATGCAGCCTCTAATACTCAACTGAGTTTACAGACACACAAATTAGGTGAAGCTGTTAGCAATAGCATTAATTCTGTTAAATTAATCTGTCTTATCTTTTTTTTTTTTTAGGTGTCTGCTTCAGAATGGTAAGGCAGCATGTACGGGGCCAATTTTACATTTCAACAGTGTGGTATTTCCAGTGCTAAAAATATTGTAGGAGGCCTATATACAAAGGCATCCTGTTGGCATTTTCAGTTCTGAGCTGGACAGGGTTAAATATTTTGTGTTTTTTGTTGCTGTTTTTTAAATCATAGGTTCTTTTTATAGTAGATATATGATATAAACTAATCCTACTGTTAAAATAGTTTTTTTACAAAAATATTCATATTGATGTTATTCAGTTTGTTTGTATCACAGTAATACTTAGAGGCCTTGATCGGGATGGTGATTGTGTGTATGCACCCTGAATTTAAACATTTTAAGAGCCTGACAATATGTTGACTTTCAGAAAATGTCAGTTTTGAGCTATTGAAGCAATGGATGTTCCTTTATTTTTTCATGAAAATAAGTGTACCGTTTTAATTGTTCAGAAAATTAAAAAAATTAATCTATCATGGTTATGATTTTTTTCTGACAGATGATGTCTAGTAAACACACTGTGAAAGTTTGGTCTCTGCAGCTCAAAACTCATCAAAGCTTCTCCACCTGTTCTGAATTTGCAGCAGGAGCATTCCAATTAAAAAAAAAATAAGCAGAAATTCAGAAAACGAGGAAACTTGTTTTACAGAGTGGAAATAGCTAGAATACTATATTTTCTGAAAATATTGACCTATGTTTAATATTAAAGATAAGGCTTTTTCAGTATATGATTATTCTTGTGAAACAGCTGAAAGTTGAAATGACTGAAGGACTTAGGATATATAACATGTTTTTAATTAGTGACATCATTCATTCCACCCACTCTGGTCTATCCAGCTACTTTGGGCTCTTGTGTTGAGTTGCCACTCTATGAGAGATATGGTCCATTGCTTTGTGTTAAGTATTGTTAACTTGGAAGTGTCAATCTGTGTAATTGAAAGTTGTGACATCATCCTGGGCCTGCTTTATATTTATTTAAGTGAAGAGAAGTGAATATTGAGTGTATTGTATGAGAAAACAAACAAGTCTGTGCCTCTCTCATATTTTGATGCCTTATCTACAAACAAATGTGACTGAATAGATAAATTTAAAATTCTCTTTATTACTTTTTAACAGATATGACAAAATATAATAAAACAATGTTGTTTAATTGTTAAGAAATTAGAAATTATTGTTGTTTAGAAATTGTTCTGATAGTGTCTAAGCAGGAACAGTTTTCCAGTGAACTTTTAACAGATAATTACTATTCATTAATAATAGCCTAGATCAGCCCAGTTGAGTGCATATGGAATAAGTCCCCAGAGGCTAATAGTAAAATCTGAGTGTGATATATGCAACTGGATAAAGATGATTGATTTAGAAAAGCAGCCATGTTAAAATACCTGTGACATATATATTTATGCAACTAATATATGAAGAAGTAGAAGACCATTTGTTGGCTAATAATGGTTGACATTTTCTTTCGGTGGAATAATTCTTTGCTGGATTTCTGAACGAGTCTGTACAGTTTTTGGGTTTAAAATATATCTTTATAACAAGGTATATGTTACCTAGATACGAGAGAGAGAAAATACAGCATGGCAAAACTTTAAAAAAGGAGATAAATTCAAGTGGCCGAAGCCAGCATAGGAAGTGAATAGATGACAAGCAATCACAATAATAATAATTTATTGTAAACAGAGCCATATTAACACCTCAAACAATTTACTAAACTTCAATCTTTATTGCTACTACAATTCCCTCTTCTTCTAGTGTTTTGCTCTCCTTCATTTACTTCTCAAGGAAACTTGCTAATTATTTTGACAGTTTGCTTGAAGATGAGGTGTCATGGCTCTTTTAAGGAAGTGTAGTAAATTCAAAAGTGCTTTAACAAAAGATGAAGTTTTTACAGCCCTTTGTTTTTGCTGCCAGTGTTATTTTTTGAAGTTGCAGCTATAAGGGTGATGTGAAAAACCCTTAACCTCTGCACAAGAAGATAACATATGTTGACAATTCTTACATGGAGATTGTAGATTTTATCCCTCCTCCTGCCAGGGAACCATCAATAGGTTCTGATATATCATGGGAAAACAAAACCAAAGAAGCTATATTGCTACTTCCTTTATTGCCAGTAGTGTAACTTGTAAGTAGAGCCAAGAGGTGATGTTATGATAAAACTGATAAGTACAGTGGAAAAATCTCACTGTCTTGTAGAAAAAATAGCTGCTTCTGCTGCAAGACCAGAACTGGCAGGAAAATCACGGTGTCTGAGTAGATGCATTAATATCTACAGATACTTTTTAGGAGTGTAGGTTTTAAGAAAGCTGTGGAAATGGAACTGGGGCTCTAAGACTACTCATGCACAATATGTGTGCGTCATAACTGCTGGTACTGAATATACTGTGTGTATATTTTGTTTTATTTTCCAAATCAGTACACAGAAGATGAAGCTAGGAAAATGGGAATAGTTGGCTGGGTTAAAAATACCAGACAAGGGACTGTTACTGGCCAAATTCAGGGCCCAGAAGATAAAGTAAATGCAATGTAAGTATTTGTGTGTCAATGTGTGTTAGCTTCACTAACCTGTCAAATTTGTTAAAATGATTCTGAATAGAATGAAAAATTAGATTTAGAGATCAGTGTCTTACTGTAACAATCATAAATCAGGTTTGATAGAAACATACCGTCTTGACTCCTGAGCAACTGTTAGCCTTCTGTTGTGTGGGAGAACTGGGAAGAGGAACAAAAAGCAATATTGGAAAGGAGAACAAAAAAGAGACCGACATGGAAAAACACAAAATTAGCAGGAGGAAAATAACAAAATAAAAAATTAATTGGTTTAGAAAGAAGGAAATGGATAATGTAAAGAAAAGAACTCTAATTGTGCTGGGACATAGGATCAGGGAATATGATGGTGGTGATGGGGAAGAATATGTCAGCCCATCTGTTCATTGAAAGTAGGGGCTTCCCTTTCAAAAGTAAAAATGGCTCGGAATGCCTGCTGCAATGGAATAGTATTTTCCATTGGTCTTCTTTGAGTTAGTACCCTAAATGATATCATTTTTACCAAGATGTCTGCTTCCAGCACTACGCTCTGAGATTTTTTTAATTTAAAACTTTTAAAAAATTAAAACTATTCTTGGTGACAAGTGTTAAACCTGTCAGCTTTCATACTGCTTGGCTAAGTAAAATAGACTAATTTTTCCTCAGATTCTTAAATCATAGATTATCATGAACAGATTAGTAGATATCCTTACATGGAGGTTGCCTAATGCTTCTGAGTATAAAAGCTTCTCTGGTCTGCTTTTCAAGGGCTCTAGTGTCTTGATAAGTTATAGCATAATTTACAAATTTTGCAAAAAGGATAGACCTCATGTCAGAGAGGCACCTTTTGTTGTCCATTTGGAAATCCATTCAGAGCTGTTTGAATTATAAAATGTCAGAATTGTCATTTGCAATCTGTATTATGTTCAGCGGAGATTGCAAGAGGCTTTCTTTTCTGCTAATATTTTTCAAGATACTGCATGTACTGGGCATGCTCTTGAATGTCTCTTTTTAGTATGGCACATATAACTGTAACTCAAGATGGGAATCAGACTAAATAGATCCTCCTTCCTGTCCTAATTGCCCTATCAAAATAAACATTGGGCTTGGGGCATTTGCACTTACGTGACCTTACACTTATATTTTCTAACTTGTTGGTAATTCAGTTCCTTCCCTTCATCATACTTGTTATCGAGCAAGGCCTCATACTAAACTGAGAAGCAATATGGCAGACAAATCTGATTTCACTATCCATACTGCCTCTTATTAAGAACCTCTCAAATGTATGTGCCTGATTATGCTGTAGGTAAAATGAGGCTACTCGTACATATATAACCATTGTTTCAGCATGTTGTGCATTCTCAAATGATTACAGCCTACTCTTGCTGCCAGTTATTGAAGTTACTTCTTTCACTGAAGTGACTGCTGATTATTCTGCAGTGCTGAAGGTCCAGAGATCAAACTCTGATGATACGTTGTGGGTGGATGAGTTACAGTTGCGTATAATAGAATTTGCTTACCTCACACAGTTCAGTGACACTCACATTTTAGTATTACAGCAGTGCTCACCACCTCCTACTGTGATTGGGTACCTATTGTGATAGGCAAAAACATAGCTTTCCTATCCAAAAGTGTTTACAATCAAAGAAAGACAGACAGACAGATGAAGTAGCTTGTATAGCAGATCAGAGACAAAATCCAGATCTTCTGAGTACTGCACCCAGTTCTCTTAAGTCACACTAATATCACTACTGTTCTGTGGAGATTTGGAGTGTTTTTACTTTTATAAACTTATCAAATGTGTGAGATGTGACAGAGGATACTGGTGTTGATTTAGAGACGGAGGACAAACCAAACCAAGTGAGGTATGTGTAGGAGATGACAGTTGCTTGATATAAAGGAAGTTGTGCTAGGCAAGGAGGATGATTTAACAAAAGGTACTGTCATGAATGGGAGAAAAAAAGACTGAAGGTGGTGTTCAGGAACTTGCACATTGTTGATGTTCCAAATTTTCTCAGCATGTTCTGGCATTTTAAACTGAAGAACAGTGATTGCTGCAGCCCAACGAAAAGATAGTTTCTGTGGCACAAACAACAAAAATCATCACTTCTGTCACATGTTCCCTTTGTTAAAGTTAAACATTAAAACATTTATTAAACAGAACAGCATTGCAATAACATTAATAGTACACTTGATATTATTAAGACACAACACTTATAGCACACCTTACCATGCCTTGTACCTTATGCTCAGATTAACTCCAATTGGACTTGAAGTCCACATTGCAGACAATCAAATATGGGCCTGTAATAAGTTGTGCTCACCACTCTGGCACCTCCTGTTTGTTGTCTTGGGAATTATCTGAGTCCAGCCAGTTTTTACTCCCTCTTCAGGTGGTGTTTCACCCACCTTCACCTCCACTCTGGGACCTGTGTTCTCTCCAGGATCACAGAATCCTCTTCAGGACACATGCCTCACTCCAGTCTCCCTCTGTCCAGGAGCATAGCAGTTCACTCTCCAATCACTTGCCTTAGTGGCCAACTGCAGTCCTGTTTCTAGCCATATCCCTCAATGGTAAACTGTAACCCATGGCTACTCCCCCTCAGTGGTAAGTTGGGGCTTGGGGAAAGCCAGGCCTACATGCTAATCCAGGTCCCAGCCCACCCAGAGACCCTATAGCTGACAGCCATGTATTGCTCCTCTTTCAGCTGTGCCACCTCAATCCCTGGGCCACTTCCTGACAGCCCTACCACTTCATTTGTCCTTGTGTCAGGGCCTCAGTCTGGAAGCCATCTATCTGGAGCTTCCTCTCGCTCCTGCTAATCCTGCCCAGCATTGCTCTGTCCAGGGTGCTGGTAGTTCCTTTAGGGACCCAGTACTTCTTCCCTGGGCTCCCAAAAGAAAACTGACTCCTCTGTCTTGCAGCTCTCTTTATATATGGGCCTGCTATGCCCTGATTGGCTGCTTTTCTCAGTCATTCTCTGGTTGGTTGTCTACTGTGCAGCCTCTGTAAAGCTGCTTTTAATCTCTTTTTCTGCCAATGTGGGGCAGATACCCCATCACAGGGCCACTACATCTTAACAATAAAAAAGATTTCTTCCACTTTATAATCTGTGCAGGAACAGGATCAGCAGCCACAAACAAGAACCAGGACTGGACCTCTTCACTCAGGATCCACAAATCAGGAACAGTAACACGGACATTGACAGGAGCTAGAGAGCTGAACCAGGCAGTTTGTCTCCTCTTGATCTGAAGCAAAAGAGCAATACAAACACTAGCTGCCTCTAAAATGGATAGCACAGAGCAATGTGTGCTGAGTCCTTGTACACTTTTTCTTGTTACTACACAGACTATATGCTTGGTCCTGTAGAGTTTCCCATTCTTTCCAGATTACTAGGCAGATTTCTAACGATCACTGATATAAAGCTGACCAATCAATACACATCAAAAGGCGCTGAAACAGAGTATATACTAAGGACAAACAGAAGGCAAGAAGAAAGTGGCCCAATATGGAGGACAGATGAACTGCAGCCATACAACATGGCTAAGCCTGAAAACAAATGGCAAGAAGAGGCTACAGGAAGAAAAAAGGGACTAATTTAAATCCATTATGACCAAAGTTCATCTTGAAGCTAGAAACACTCTACAGGTGTCTTTAGATGTGGTAAACCTGGTGGCACAACCCACAGCTACTGCTGTGGTCATACTAAGCATACTGGTTCCAATCTTCTTGCTTGCCCCGAGAAATACAGTCCATGGTGGAGGTGCTTCCTTTTGATGGCTGGAAGCTTATTTGCCTTGAAGACAAATGAATTCTCCACATTTTGAAGAACTTCTAAGTAACTATCTCTACATTGGGACATACACACCTGCAACCACCAAGAAAACAAAAAACATATCCCTGTCAGCACTCCAGGTTCGCCCAATATGTCCAGCAACAGTATGAGACAAAGACCCCAGAGACATTGGCCACCTCCATCTCAATCATCTTATGCAAAACATCTTATGCAAAACTTGGTCAAGGGTCTGTGAGACACCCCCCCCCCATCTACCCGTGCTGACAACATTTGACTCCCTTCTATGTGGTGTGGGCTTCCATCACCACAGACAAATGGGCCCTATAAATAATACACACAGGCTACTTGGTGCCATTTACCTCCATCCCCCAACCTAACCTCCCTATCCTCCCTCTTATGAGCATGTTCTGAGGCATGAAGTAAACCGCCTGCTGTATCTCAAAAACTCTGCTCTTGGATGTGTACCAAGGCTCCGACTGAAAGGACAGATCCAATGAGGATTCTAAGGAGATGCCAATATCTCTGAATCATTGTGTTTCTGAAGAACACATGCTGGTTGCTTAGGAAATTTATTTTTATACATTTGAATTCACCCACTGAAATATCAGGAATTTTTCTATGGCATAGTTTGCTGTTTGTTTGATGCAGATATGCAAAGTCCATTAAAGTTAGTTATGAAACAGTATCCACCCTACCAGTGAAAAGGAATTTTTCTTTACTTTTTTCCTTATCTCTCTCGCTATATATAAAAAAATTCATGTGGGACGTCAGCCCAACCCCCAAGTCCAGGCCATGATCTCCGACCCCCTCCTGGGGCTCAGATGCTCTGGGCCCCGCTGGCCCTACGTGGGCAGCAGCTTTAGCTATGGCAAGGCTCCCCTCCCCAGAAGCATGCCTGGGATTGTCCAGGGGCCAACAAAACAGGCCTGGGGCTCAGCCTTCCCTGACTCATGGGGAGCAAAGGATTAGGGTTAGGCCTCAGCGAGGGTGGAAGGGCTGGGACTGGGCTGAGGATGAGGGGAACTGGAGCTGGCATGGCCTGGGCTGGGGCTGGTGTGGCCAGGTGATTGGGGTGGGGGAAGAGTCGGGGCTGGTGGAGCATCAGCCTGGCCCACCCAGTGGCCGAGCAGAGAGCTGGGAATGAATACCCCCAGAGAGAGAGAGACTGGCGAGCATAATGAGCAGGGGGTGAAGTTCCCCAGTTTTTTTTTTATTACATTTTAAAACGATGACATACAAAACAGTAAAGTTCATGTAAAGAAACAATGTTGAGGCCTAGATGGCTAATGGTTGCTCCTGCATTATGGCTCTTCTCATGAATGTAACTGCTTGCAGGGTCAGGCCACTTAATAGAACTAAGTGAAAATAATTAACTGTTTTTGCTTAAAGTTTAATATCTGTGTAAAATCTTAGCAGGATTAGGGCTTTAGAACTCATTTCCTCTTTGTATTACACCCTGTGGGTGAAATCCTGGCCTTATTGAAATCAATGGTGAAATTCCCAGGATTTTGCCCTGCATATCTTCACTTAAATCTGTGGAAATTGCAGGATGTGAATGAGGGTAGAATTTTGCCTCCAAGTGTTGTTGTAGTTTGATAATCAGTGTTTGATTTCTGATAATTAACTTTTTTGTAAATTCTCAGAAGAAAAGGATTACATAATTTCTATATTGCAGGGTAGTCTTTAAAAATGTATGAATTTTAAACATTTATTTTAATTTAATTGGAAAATCTTGTGAACCATTTCCAGAGGGCAATATAGCAAAAAGTTTTATCATTGGATTAAATATTTTTGGAAATTATCCTAGAAAAAAATTGTATTTATTTGTATTGTTAGATAACAGTATTTTGAATGCTATAAAAGGCATCTCTGTTTAAGACTAGCATTTACTGTAGTTCTATGTACATTAGCAAGCCTTGTACATAAGACCCTACTAATGATACTTGGTGCTTTTATTTAATAACATCTATTTTTAAACTATAGGTGGAGCTCTTTGGTTTGTAGATGTGTATTTTTCAACTGTTCATGCCTTATTTGAAATAAGGCTATTTGTAGACTATTCTGTAGAATCCCTTCTTTGAGTTAGAGGCTTTTTTCCCCTACTGTATTTTATAGTCCTGCTCCCCTTGTTGTTACATGTCCATGTGCACAGCATATAATTAATCTTAGTACAAAAAACTTCATTTCAGTTTTCACCTGTCATTGAGCCTGTGAATCAATAATAGTAGGGTCACTCTCAAAACCAAGTTACACCTATTGATGTTCATTACTGAGACACATTGTTATGGAGTTTAAAGATAGATTGAAGGGTTTCCTACCAATCCAAAATATATTGTTTTAAACAATGCAATAAAATAACTATCATTCCATTTGCATAAAAGAGAACCATATAAACACAATATTTTTCTTTACAGTATCTTGTGATAGTATTCATATAATGAAGTTAAAGTCCTTAAAGACATTGTAGTTGTTGTCATAGCAACTTTCAGTGACAAAATAGGCATTCTTTTTTTAGTGAATTTTCAAGTTTAAACTATCTATAAACATTAGTCATTTGCAATTATTAACTTACAAAAAGGGTAAAGATTAGTATATGTGGATGGCTAAATTTAGAATTTATTAAAATTGTGATGCCTTGGTATAGCAGATTAAAGGAACTGACATGCACCTAAGAAACAATACCCGATGGAAATTTTTAAATAGCAATTATCATTGGTAACAGCAATGGTATTTAAATATTTTTCCTTCATTTTAGAGGAGAACATGTTGTGTTAAGTATAATATTCTCTGTCCTGGAAGTGGTGGATTTATTTTAATAGATAAAAATGTTGTAAACTGAATTCACAATTATTTTTAATAATTGAAGTTTTCAGTAAAAATACCAATAACTATTAAGTCTCAAAGGGTAGCCATGTTAGTCTGTAACTGAAAAAGCTTAAACAACGAATGGTCCTGCAGCACTTTAGAGACTAAGATACAACCGGATTTGTGCTAGTCCCACAGACAGAGACAAACACCTATGGGATCTATATCAGGCATTCTTAAAACTTAAATACCCACCCAGGGAAGTGAAAAAACAGATTGACAGAGCCGGACGAGTACCCAGGCATCAGCTTCTTCAATATAAGCCCAATAAACAAAATAACAGAACACCACTGGTCATCACCTACAGCCCCCAAATTACACCCCTCCAGTGCATCATTTACAATCCACAATTGCTCCTGGAAAATTAGCCTTTTCTCTCACAAGCCTTGGTGGAGAGGCCAATTCTTCCCTATAGACAGTCCCCTAACCTGAAACAAATTATTTCCAGAAACCATGCAACACACCTCCATCATACTCACACATGAACCGACTCCTGCAATCAGCTCCGGTGCCAACTCTGTCCACACACCTATTCAAGTGACATCATCACAGGATCTAAGCACATAAGCCACCACATCAGAGGCTCATACAACCGCACATCCACTAATGTGATCTATGCCATCAAGTGCGAGCAATGTCCCTCTGCCATGTATATTGGCCAAACTAAACAGTCTCTACAGCAAAGAATTAATATACACAAATCAGACATTTGAAATGGTAACACACAAGAAACTTATTTGGAAACATTTTAACTTGCCTGGGCACTCATTAATGGATCTAAAGGTGACGATACTATTACAAAGCAATTTCAAAAACCAGCTGGAGAGAGAAGCTGCAGAACTTGCCTTCATTTACAAATTTGACACCTTCAGTCAAGGTCTGAGCAAAGACATGAAGTGAATAGGCTGCTACATTCAACACCCTCACGACATCAAAAGCTAAGTGCCGGGCACTTACAGCCCACTTTGTTAGCTTCATTTAGCAGGGACACTCTAATTGACAAGATTTTTTTTCCTTTTCTTTCCTCCCCATTCCCATTTTTCTGCTATTTATTTGTACCTCTGAACCCCTTTCTCCATTCTTCTGAAGAAGTGGGTTGTGCCCACAAAAGCTCATGATACCATCTACATTTTTGTTAGTTTTTAAGATGCTACAGGACCATTCGTTGTTTAAGTTTTTTCAGTGATTATTAAGAAGAGAGAATAACAGATAAATACACGTATAAACAAGAAAAGAGCTACTTAAGTCAAATTTCAGTATGTGCTTTTACCAAGAGAGTTGACATTTTTTCCTTATAGCACCAAATATGAGAGAGAAGGAATCAGGAGAAGATAAGTATGTTAGTTTCCATTCTGTCTGTCTTTAGCTAAATATGAGTTAATCAACTTAGATGTCTGGTGTTTGGAGTTCAGGGAAGTATTGGAATGTTGACTGTATTCCATAGATGCAGTGCACAGATACCAGGTAACAAAGTGGAATTTATCTTTTTGTCATATAGAGTAAAAAACAGATTTTTTTTTATACCAACTTTGAAAAGTAGGTATGTTTTTAATGTATTAACATTTTGAATACATTTACAAATAATAGCCAGAGTAGTCTGAAATGGATTTGAGTGTTGATCGAAAGTCATTGGTTATGGTTGTTACAAAAGCACCATGCTTAAGCCATGAATGAGTTCCATTACCATGTGCAAAATATTGGGTAAATAGTTGAAATCTAATTTCCATATTTACATAATAAATTTCCTAAATAAGGCAATATCTCCCATATAAATTCAGAGTTGTATTTCTCATTTGTTTTAGTTGGAGTTGTAACATAAAGTGAATGGAAATTCCAATCTATGTGTTGAAATTTAGACATTTTTCTTAGTTTTTAGAAGGGCTATTTTTATCTTGAGCTCAATCTAAGAACAGATAGACAGATTATGGAAACACATCAGTTAAGTTTGCTATGGGACTTTAAAAGGAATTTGCGAGGGCAGGAAAGAGATTAATTTGTGTGAACAGGGAGGAATTATGAAGTAAGTATAACGTTGTATCTTACATATGAGGGCACATGGAAGAGGGCTCAGATGTGATTATTGAGAAGCTGACAAATGAGTGAATAAGGGTGGGAACGTAGCTAGAATAGAGCGGTGGTGGGCAACCTGCATCCCGACGGCCACATGGCCCATCAGGGTTCTGTGTGTGGCCTGCAATACATTTTATTTACTGTTGCATGCACACAGGGTTGCCAGATTCCACTGGTTTCCGTGTGTGTTTGATTTTTCCTAACGATGTTACTAAAGTGACATGCACGTAAAGCAAGGGCACGTGAAGTGAAGCGCATGCTTATTGGACACAAAATTGAATGTAAGAGTCTGCTCCTCCCTCTGCATCCAATCAAAGTGCTGCCATGGTTCAATTGGCACACACCGCACATTCTAAGTTCGCAGCCCACTCACTAGCCCATTGCTGGAATAAAGGGAGAATGGGAGGGAGGAATTTTGAGCTTGAGCAGGGAGGATAAATAGGATAATGTGATAGTGTCTGAGAAACTACTGGATTCAAAGAGGGAAGTGAGTGACACAATCAAAACAACAGGCAAGGAAGAGAATTTTAGTGGCTATATTTTGCGGAGACTGAAGAGGAGCAAATATGTGAGTCTAGGAAGTCAGAAAGGAAGGTTGTCACGAGTCTGCATCCATGTATCTGTTCCACATAGCTGCTTTATTTGCATAGGCCACCCGTGCCGCTTCTCAGTGCTCGCGCCACCCTTTGCACATGCGCTGTAGAGACCAAAAGGTGCAGCAAATTTGCCTTTGCCTGCAGTCCCTATATCGCCTGCTGGCGGCAGGGAGGGGGTTCCGGGCCCACCCACACTCCCGGACCCCGACCCAGGGCCCTAACAGGGAACCGTGCTCCCCATGGTAGCAGGCGGCAGCTTACCCCTAAACTCGCCTACTCGCGGGCTTTGCGACCACGCCCTGGGTCAGCATTCAACCCCGCTGCCGGAGACCCTCTCCTCAACCCCTCGGGTGAGTTTCCCCGCATCATCATCTCCTTCTGCCCTATTACCTGCTACCTCTGCCTTCTCTCCCCCCTTTCCCGGGTCCTTCCCCAAGCTTTTATCCTCCCCCTCTCTCTTCCGTCCAGCGGGTGACGTCATCCTCGCCGACTGCTCTGCCGACCTTTCCGCCCCTCCCTCCCCCATCGTGCCGGTGACGTCACCCGTTGCGACTGGCCCTGCCTCTGCCCGCTGAGCTCCTGCGCTGCGCGTGCTGGCCCCCTCCCCATGAGTGTTCGCCGGCGCTTGCGTTGCCGCTTCCGTAGTGGCGCAAGCGCATGCACCTCCGGCATCCCGACCCCCCCGTTGGTTGTAGTGACGGGGTTGCCTCACCGCATCACAAAGGTATTTTAGTAATAGCAAGGAACAGAATGATAGATTTGGTTCTGAGTATGGGAAGAAAAGGGTGGATTTTGAAGATGTCGAGGAAGAGAATCAGGGTCTGGAAATAGCTGGATGTGTGGGCAAAGAAGAGGGAAGGAGTAAAAATAATTTTGCAACTGTGAGCTTGAATGACAAGGAAGACAGCAGTGGTATCAGCAGAATGGAATGAAGGAAATTATATTTTTGAAGGAAAAGGAAGGTGGAGGTTATATGCATGGTCTTTAAGCTTTCTTCTTTCTGGCCTACACACTTGTTTTATGCAGAAAATGTGGGTACAGAAATACCAGAACCTGGGTAAAAATGGGGAGGCACTATCATTAGAGCTGTAGCCCAGCTCCTTCTCTTCCTCTTGGGGCCCTGCCCCCTGGTGAGGCCAGAAGCCAGAGCCAGGCAGTGGTAAGAGCTACCCAGGGAGACTGGGCTGCTGTGGGGAGCTCCAGACCTTTCACCTGCCCTGAGCAGCGATCAGCGTGTCTGAGAGCAGCTCCCAGCTCATGTCCCCCACTCTTTGGGGCATGCCACTGTCAGTGGGATCCAGAGACAGAGGCTTTGGTTTGGCCTCCTGTGCTTTCCCTGGGGTGTGCAGGCAAGTTCTATAGGGAGTGCAAGCCTTGCTCCAACCTGAGAGAAATTGAGAAGCTCCGGGAAGGCCACAGACAACCAGGAGCCAGGCAGGAAGGGGTCTACTAGCACAGCTGTGGCTGTTACTAGCCCAACCTCAATGGCTGCTGCACATCACCCAGGTGCCTCAGTGCATATAGTTTTGAACCAGACAGTCCGGCATTTGAGCTTTCTGTCCAGGAAACAAATTGAGAAAATACCGGACATATAAATGTCTGGTATTTTCTAATTAAGTAAGTTTTATTATTATCATGAGTATCAGTACGTAATTGCGTACTGCCTGGCTGGTAGCCACGCTCACACAGTAGAGAGGACAGGGGTAGGGGGCAGGGCAGGATGGAATCCCCAGTTCCAGACTCGCCTGTGTGCCCTGCTGGGATCATGCGCGGGACAGGCAGCGGCCTGGGATCTGCATGCGCCCGGGCTAGCCCTGCTCCCCACTGGCCGGTTTCCCTCCCCACCCCGCTACCTCCAACCCCCTCCCGGCCAGCCCTGCTTCCTGCCAGCCAGTTCCACCCCCCTCCCTGATCTCCCCCAGCCAGCCCCGAACCTCCTGAATCCCTCCTGGCCAGCCCGACTCCCTGCTGGATGGTTCACCCCGGCCAGCCCCGCTCCCCCGCATTTCTCTCCCGGCCAGCCCTGCTTCCCGCCAGTTGTTCTCCCTCCCCCCGCCATATCCCCTGGCCAGCCCTGTTCCCCTCCCGGCTGCCCTCACACCCTCTGAGATCAAGTGTGTCCGGTATTTTTTTGAAATCATCTGGTAACCCTAAGTGAATATGCCCAGATCCCACTACCAGGTTTCCCTGCTGCCAGGCTGCCCCATGGCAGGTCCCAGCTTTTTCTGGTTGCAGGCTGCCTCCACTGCTGGTCTTTGTGCCCAAGGCAGAAGCCATGTGTGGCACTGCTCTTCTCCTGCCGCTTTTGGCTTGTGGCATTGCCCTCTGCCAAAAAAACTACGCCCGTGTTGCTTCTGCTCTGTGTCTGCCCAAGGCTACTTTGCCAATTTTGAAAAGTGCACAGGCATGATTCTCTGTAGT